TGCCTTGCGGGATACTGGATCTTATAGGTCTTGGAGTTGACTTTTCATTTCCTTGTGCAACGAGAGAATGTACAGTTTTGCAAAAAGGAGAAGATCAGAAGAATAAGTTCTCTAGGAAGTACTAGTTTGATAAGCCTCTCATGGCAGAGGCGGTCAAATGCTTTTGCCACGTCCAGCATAAGGAGCGCAACACTTATTGTGAAATGCAGATCCGACGAATTCAACAATTCTCACGAGTTGGCAAGTCATGCTAAGATTTTTTCTGAAGCCTTATTGATCGTTAAGTAAAAGATGAAAATATGGCTCGATTCTTGTAAGTATAAGTCGTTCCTAAATTTTTCCTAGGCTGGATAACAGACTGATAGGTCGATATCCGTCAGGTTTGGGGAGAAGAAAGGTCTTTGCTTGCTTCCATGGGATCAGGAAGAAATAATTTAGTGTGAAACAGGCGTTAAGTATGCTGGCAAATTTACTGATAATTTCTGGGCAAGTTACGAAGCATTTTGTTGGTATCTTATAATGTCGTGAAAGAAAGGAGTGGCACTTAAAAACAAAGGCCATAAATTTGATGGGTATTTTGACCCAATTGAAAATCTGATAGTTTAAATTAAATCTGGGAAAATAAATTTTGTATCTATGTAGGGGTCAAAACTCGAAATTGCAGCTTGTTGCTTTTCCCTCGTGTCTAACGTGATTTATAAGCCGCTTTCTCTCGAAGTCTTCGACGAACTTAAAAGTTAAATTAATTAATTAAAGAAATTCGAGGACTATCTGTGTGGGAAGAGATGCCATCGTAGAAGACTTCCTAAGGAAAGCAGGCACACATTCACGTTTTATATGAGGAAAGCCATGAAACCTTTCATGTTCGCCTGAATTTTAAACCCCGGTTGACCTACCAGTGTTCAGCGATCTTACCACTCTTTCGCTGGTGGGTTCCTCCACAAAAGTATCCATATTTTAGGCAACTAGCAATGAACTTCTGAAAACTAATGAGCAGATTTTAACGAAATTTGCTATGAATATACATTTATAACAGAGAAAGAGATGTACTATTCAAAAATCATATCATATATGCGCGATTGTCAATAAAGTTCACGATGCAAGGATGTCGAAAATCCACGTTGTGATATCGAACTAAAAATAAGTGTAATATGGGCTATGTGTCCCTCTCACAGCCAGACAGGTCGCGCAAGGTGACGCCATACTGGACATGAGGCAGTTAAGGAATCCCTGTGTCAGGCGATCCCACTTCTACAGCAAGGCAGTTTTCAACTTCGCTTTAGTTCTTGGAGGGGGAAATGGCGAGATTAAACTGGACTACCAAAAGCGTCGTCGAAGACATGTTTTATAGGATTAAGGTGAGGACATCTAGCTGGCCAGTCTATGTTGACAAATATACTTACTTTACTTTACAAGTAATGGTTGACTAGCTGAGCCCTTTATAGACGACCGTTATCGTTTATTAACAGGAACCCACCACCAACTGCGCTCCTGGAAAGTCGAAAAGAGAGCTCTAAGGTCTCTCTGTACCTTGTAATAGTCTGGAAGCATTTGTCAAACACATGCAGGGTGTGTGGCTATTCAACATAATGCCTGTTCAAACCATTACACTTCCACAACCATAATGATCTTTTTTCTGATGAAGAGGGGGTGGTATCTTGTTGCATACTCTCTCCAGATAAAGATACGCTAAGAATCAGTGCCCCAGGATGAATCGCGGCTCACCTGTGAAAAAGCACGCTGCTCCGCTGAAATCTGGCTCAAGGCACGTGTCATCTATACTATGCTAAACATGCTCTCTTCCGTGCTGCAGTGAGCAGAACGCAACCAGAGATTTTCCTGGCATACAGCCCTATCTCACGAAGCTTTGAGGCAACTGTAGACCGTAAAACCTCGAGTTACATTGACAGCACACATCTCACGTAACAGCTGTAGCGGTCCTGTGTCGCCACCCTGAATGTGCTAAATTATGATTCTTTCATCGTTTTAAATGTTTGTGGACCTTGTCCAGGTCTTCTTGATATAGATCCATTGTGTACTTCTCGGAAGTGCATATAAAATAGGAACGATATAGATCCATTGTACTGAAACTACTTCCGGAAATTGCAAATGACACTGGACTTTACATTGCAGCCAGCCATCTGCGCTTTTGACTGTCCTATCTCCAATCTACTGATAATCCCCCCCCTTATTCCATCATCTATACATTCTTGGCTACTAATTTTACCTGATACGTCATAAAATTTACCCCCACTCTTGCGAGAAACACAGCAAATGTTGTGAAGAAGTACAAGTACACAAATCGCCGAAAACCCTTCGTGCGGCCTAGATACCCTCCGCAGATATGCGTACGCTTTATATTCGACATGTTTCATCATAATTCTTTAGAGCCATAATTAGTATCTTTGGTTCAATACTTTTTGTAAAAATAGACATAATTTGCAAATTTTCTTAATTTTGCACTTCAGTGTAGTTATGCCAAGGCCGTCTTAACGCATGTGTCCGCTGAGGAACACATGCGTAACCTCAAGTGCATACGCCCTATAGCCCCAAGTGCGTACGGGCCCTATGCTTATGCGTTTATATTTCACTTACATTTCATTTTTCTGAGCAGTGGCTAGCTACATATCTCTTCAGGTGTCAAACTGATGTTACGAAATTTTAGAATGTTTTTCATTCTGTAAATTTTACTACTTTCATGGGGAGGGCACAAATAACCACTATAATGGTTTGGTTTATTAGATTACGGCAAAGCACTCGAGGGCTATCTGCCTTAAGGGAGGGATGCCTTCATGGAGGACTTTTTATGGGAAACTAGCTCGTATACACGTTACACATGGGGAAAACCACGAAAACGCCCATGCAGCCAGCCCGTTCGCGGGATTCGAACCTCGGACCGAACTACCAGTGTTCAGCGGCGTTAGCGCTCGGCTCGCTGGTGGGCCCCTATAATGACTCTTCTCATTAGGGAACAGTAATAAAGGAGGGCAGAAAAGTGATTTGGATCGTGCCTTTCTAAAGGGCTTTACAACCTTTTTTTCGCTGTTCTAAAGGATGTTTTCCACGAAAAAGCGCGAATTAGGGAACTCAACAACATGTTTCAGCTGTTTTTAGAATGATGTCTGTTTGTGTGTGAAAATTTTTTCATCCACAATAACACTTGCTGGAACTTCCAAAAATTCCCATTTTCCATATTTAAGCTTTCTACATTCGTACATAAAGAGTTGATTAGATTTTGGGCAAAATTGGACAACTAGAAGTGGTACTTTGCTTGAAGCTCATAAGGCCTGTTTACACTACTTATACTCCAACCTAGAGCAAAACTTGTCAGCAGTCAATGTGTGAATGACATTTTTACAAATTTGAAAATGTGCATATAAAGCATATTTTTATTACCCATTTATTAATTTTTAATTAAATCATTAATTGTAATCCATTTAATTAGATTAGCTTAAAATATCTCTCTATATAAAATTGAATAAATAAAAATCTTATAAATTATATGCATATTTTATTAGAAATTTTCCTTTTATTAAAGCAGAAATATCAAAATTTACTAAAACATTATTGATGCAAATATTTTAAATCACAAATAATCATAGAGAAAATTAGAATCCATAAATCATATATATTTAGATTTCTGAATTCTGATTTCTACAGAAAAATAAAATTTAAAAAAAAATTGAATTTTAGATACAGAAGAATAGTACATATAATGATCATAAAATTACTTATAATTTCTTTACAAATAATGAATATAAATATTTATAGGTAGCATGCTTAGTAAGATTAAGCTCTAAATTATGGAATTTTTTAAATAAAGTTTCTTTTCCCATTATATTTAACTTTTCAATTAGAACTGCTTCAAGAGTTTTCATGCCTAAATATGGTTAAAATCCGGTCTTATCTTTTTTTTCTTTTAATGGAAAAAAATTCTTTTGCAAGCTGTATTGGAACTTAGTATAAAAAAAGATATAAAGTAAAAAAAAAGATATGAATGGGTGCATTAAATACAAAGTAATGCTTTTTGCTTTAATAATAAGCAAAAACCACTACTTTGTATTTAATGCACCCATTCATATCTTTTTTAATTTTACAGTTTTTCTCCATACTATATCAAATCTGCATCTTCTTACTTTCCAGTTTTGGCATTTAAGACTTTTATATCAATGGGAACAACTAGATTTTTCTTAATATTAATACACTGGAAGTGATACTTTTAACACTTGGAACAAGCTTTTGTAAAAAGACAAGAGAAACTTCTGAAATTTGGTATTTAAAATAGGTACGTGATTGAGAACAACATATTATATTTATAAGCGTTAAATGTATTTTGGAATTGTGCTAAATGCTATGAGAATAAATTCATTATGAAGCAATTAAATGTATTAGCCTTAGTCCATAATTTCATATTTATTTCACTTTTCCAATAAAAGAATGCTTCCACCAAATGTTACTGTTATGTGTTATTTTTAAGGATACAATTTAGCCACTATACAAAGAAATGGACTGACATAGTTGACACTATATTGAGAATTCTAAATATTTAAAAAAATATATGATTAAGTCATTGATTTGTGAATCCGAAACCATATATGACCACAGGATGACTTCCGCGAAAGTCATCCTGTGGTCATATATGGTTCAAGAGTCCACAGGATGACTTTTCATGTATCATTCTTTTTTTTTATAATTGATAGGAGGAATGAATACTAAAAAATGACTAGTGTTTATAATTAAGACTGAGCCATAAAGTTAACAAATTAATTAGATTTCATTTATAAATGATCAACTAGATGCTGATAGTTCACTTAAAGCTCGTTACTAATTCCACGTCTCAAAATGGTTAGAGATGTGCTGGCCACATTTCTTAAATCTGAGGAATATTTAGTTGCAATATTTGAAAATAACAGAAATCTGGAATAAAAACAAGTGAAACATATCATCCATCTTCTGTGAAATATACCATCTGCTTTTTTAACAATTAACAAGAATTCAAATGTAACTTTACCAGATGTTCTTTAAATTCTATATGGGGAACATATTTTTATATGTCCTAAAAGCAATTATTTTCTGAAAGCTTTACAAATATATTGCACAGTCAATCACAAAAACAATTGCCATTGGGACTTAATCTCTTCTTATACTGGCATGGCATCCATCCATATAAGAGATCATTCAGCTACCATGCAACTAAAAAAAAATTATTTCAACAAAAAAGTGTTTTAAAGCATAAAAAAATATGTTACATAAAGACAATAAAACTTAAATTTATAATTTCACTTTTAATGTTACACAAAATTTAAATCCTTAATAACAGCACAATCAAGATTAAATATCCTGTTACATTAAAAACTTCATTAATATCTAATTCATCAATCATCTGTATATTTTGTATGTAATCAGCCTTTATGAAACCAGTCATACAAGAAGAAATTCCCAATAAGTTACCGAAAAATAGAAATCTGGTTTTCATATAAAAAGCAGGAAATTATGCTTAATTCTTTTCAGTCATTTCCTAAAATATATTTGAAAATTCCAGAACAAGTTAAAATAGGTTCCCGGATAAAAGACCACTGGACAAATCCCATTGTGATAATTGCCCGTGCAACAAATACCTATGTGGATAGCAGCCAGTGACACACTTATGAATATAATTTACTTAAATAATTATTAAATACAGCAGTATTATATATCCATAACATTTAAATGTTAAAATACAGTAAAAGCTGGACTATCAACTAACTGGAAAATTTTTAATTTCAGAAAATTTAAGTGACATATAAAGCAGGGACAGGCCTCCAGAAACCCTGCTGATAACTTCTAAATTGTGAACAGATTTACATTTACACACCTTTCTTACATTCCCTCTTCCCCACTGCTATATCCAATCTTTGGCTATATCCATCATACTGTTCTAAGAATTCCTCCAGAGAATAGGCTAACAGTAACTATAATAGTCCTTATTGTTGGCTCTGATTCTTCTCACCAGTTGTGGGAAGTTACACAGTTTCAGTTCCCATTAGAAGTCCTTTGTTACTACTAGAGGGGAACATAGATTTCTTGTGGTGAGCAAAACAGGACCAAGGTCACTGCATAGAGTGGAATTTGGAAGTGCACTTGAACACAGGTGTTCTATCAGAAATTGTTTTCACCTGTTTTACTAACAGATTTTTCATTAAATTGGTCCTCAAGTTGAATAGGCTATAGGTAACAATTTCTAAACATCTTTTAGTGTGACAGGAAATTAATATTGTATCTATTTTGATTAATTATCCATCTACTGACTGAAAATCTTTGCCAGAACTTGACTGCAAAAATGGAAGATTCTTCAACATATAAAAAACAAAATAATTAAGTTTTGAAAAAGGTGAAAACAAGCAAAATTTAATGAAAGACTTTAGCATCGGATTAATTATAATTTATGACATTAAACTGGGAAAAAATGAATGAACAATGGTGATACAAAGTGCAAAATTATCATACAAAATTTAAGTTTTTGATATGCTATATCCTTAACTTGAATCATGATATTAAATAAAAATTGGCCATTTTCTTTAAGCTCCCACTGGAATGAATGGTGCAAATTTGGCAACATCTCCTTTAATTTTCATGATGACATTTAATAAGAAGATATTTTAATTTTCATATGCCAAAAGCATAGCAAATACATACAAATTTATGTGTGAAGTTTTTTTTTAAACGTTACATAATTAATTGTAGGCTTTTGATTAGAAGCTGATAACAAATAAGAAGACAGTTTTTATAGTATTAGACCTGAAATTTCTTTCTCCATTAACAGGACTTTTCTGCCAATTGCATTTTATATATTATTATCCGGAAATTTTATTTATCAAGAATTTGCATATCCCAAGCATTTCATAGTCCATCTCTTACTGTGTAATATATACGAGAGTCAAAATATGTATTATTATAGTAGTAAATGTGCTAATGAAATAGCAATAAAATCATACAAACTTAATTACTGCAGTTAAACCGATTTTTACCATTTCATTGAAATTTTATTATCATTTTCACATATTCCTTTAGTTAGGGATAGATAAAAGAGAAATCTTAAAAATTGCATCCCTGACGCTTACTGAATATACAAATTTTTAGTAAATGTGCAAATAAAATAGCAATAAAATCATACAAACTTAATTACTGCAGTTAAACCAATTTTTACCATTTCATTGAAATTTAATTATTTTCACATATTCCTTTAGTTAGGGATAGATTTTTTTTGTTGCCTACATAAAAGAGAAAGCTTAAAAATTGCATCCCTGATGCTTACTGAATATACAAATTTTATTTCATTTATGTACTGAATTTTTTGATATTTCAATCTTCACTTAAGTTACATGCTCAGATTTATTTTGAAAGGAAGAATGCCTGGAAGTAAATAATTTTACATTTTATTCAAGTTGGCTCAATCTTGAAGGAAATAATTCTTAATATTTCTTCTTTATTACCTATTGCTATGTAACACTTCAAGAAGCGTTTTTTTGCGATTCTTATTTTAAAGTTATTTGGGAAAATGCTTTCAGTTTACTTACACAGAGCATATTTCTTCATACCCTATGTATACATGAACTGATTTATTAGCTTAAAAACTGATCCAATATACATTCTTCCACTTATGGAATTTTTCAAAATAAGATGAAGACTGACTCCAAGACATTGAGGATTTTGATTAAAAAAATAACTTTTTCTATAGCTCCCAGAGAGAAAAATCTCCAATCAGCAAAATATGCACTGATCTGTTAAAAAAAATTCTATCTATGTTCGAACTTTGCAAAAGTTAATGTTTAATTGATTAACAGAACAGGGCATTGTAACGGCTTAAGCTATTGTATCGACCACCACAACATTCTGAGAAAAAGAATGGCGGCTTTGAAAGTTCCCATGGACAGAGCATTTCTTAACGAATTCTCAGAAAGAAAGTGACCAGCAGCCACAAAACAAACTCAAGTTTTTGTTCCTCTTATAGTTGTCCGAAGGGAGACATTGTTCTGTTCCCTTTCATCAGTTTATAGGTGCGTTGTCTCAGACCACCTGAGAGAGAAAAATTTCAGCAATGTTAAAAACTGCAGCTGAAAAAAGCTGCACTTCAAAAATATAATTTTAAGAAAATTCTATCTGCCAAAATTTATTTTCTGTTGAAAACTTTGAAACTTTGGCTGTTAAAAATTTGTAATTTATCAATTGTTTTAAATAACTAACATTTTAACATAATGTGTAAAATGCTATTGTTACACGAAACATTGATTTATCTGCACAAAAAGCACCACACATTCTGAAGAAACAAGAAAATGGCGGAATGAAAGTTCCTTGAATTGAATTGAAATCCTTTGACAAAAGACTATTTAAGCAGAAGTTCATTTCTTAATGCGAATTGCACTTCAAATCTGAAAGAAAGAATTATTTACATTTTATAATAACTCAGTTACAAGTTCAGAAATTTCAGTCAAATACTATTTAATTCCTAAAATTCTCTAATTTAAAATGAACAATAAGCATTAATTATAAATTGACTTACATTTTTCGAATTAAAAGAAGCCAAAAAATCATGTCATATTTAAGAAAGTATTTTAAGAAACTAAATAGAAAAGAAATAATGCAATATAAACTTTGCTCTTAATTTTTGTACCTTAACCGAATAAAAGAATTACCTTAATTTTTCTAATGTTAACGAAAACTTTGAAAATATTTCATTCAAATTAAACCATTCTGAGAAAACTTCCTTTGCATTTAATTCCGTTCTTAAAAATAGTTTTCACATCTTAGGATCTGAATAGAAAAAGGTATATTTGCGTTGTCTCAGACCATTGGTTTGTTTAGTACCCCAGTCCCCAGGCTGTCTTCATTATATCCGGTTTTTAATCAAGGTTCTCTTGCCAGTCAAGAGGCACTTTTAAAATTACGAACAAATGAGGATCCTCAATATTTTTTCAACATGCCCAGGACAACTTGAACAAAATCACGGAACACAGTTTTAGAGAAGGAGTGAGAGTGAGTTACAGTAAGTGAAGAGAGAAACCTTATCTTGGTTTTTCCAGCTTGGCCATGCGCAAATTTTATTTCGCTCTGCGTAGAGTGACATTAGTATCTCTGCCAAGAGTTTACAGTGAGGTAGCCGGGCTCGCGTTACCTTACCAGACAGCATCCAACTCAGTCCGGGAACCACTGACTTGGAGAGACGATTAATTCTAAACAGCCTCGTCTTGAATTATTTTGAAACAAGAGCTTTTATCTAGAATCAGTGCTAAATGGAAACTTTATTCACAATGTCTGGTTGTTATAGTTCCCCCCCTCACCCTACAGTGAGTTTATTTATTTTTGCATATAGCCTAGAAAGAACCCAATAAATTTATTTACACTACCTCTTGCCTTCTGAATTCGTCACAGCATGGAGGACTTCATAAAGACTGGCTCATATTTACATACACAGTATGAGCAAAGCTATAAAAGCAGTGTGAAACTAGCCTCTTTGCCAGCATTCAAACCTTTGTTAAGTGATAAAAGTTTAGAGCTGTTTTATTCACTTAGCCACAGGTGAAACTGATAGGGTCAACTACCCTCAGGATGTTTGTGACAGCAGTCGTATGCTTTTTTTTTAATCAATTAACTGAATATTAAGAAGTTTTTATTGTGAAAATAGTACTTATTACAAACTAAGAGTCAAATTATTGAACAAAAAAATAGTAAAGTACAAACCTTAGAGAATCCTTTTTGAAAATTTTTCGAATTCCTTGAACTAAAATTTTTGGTAAGCTGAATTGCCCTTTCTTGAATTGCTTTTAACTGTTTTCTTACCTTTCCTTTCTTGCTAAGTCAAAATCAGACAATATCCTTTTGCATTAGAGGTCATATAATTTTGTCCTTTGTGAAATTTTGAAATACGAAATAGTTTATCTTGTGATCTTTTAAGAGAAGCTGCATGCCTTCTTGTGGCAATTCAAAAATGTATTAAAAGGTAGTTTTATAAATACAATCTACATTTCCTCCATTTGGAACACCATGAAAATTAACTATTTTAAATCTGCATTTTTATCCTAAGCTCTAAAACATTAATGCCCTAATTGCCAAATTTTTTATCTTAATGATAATCCCCAACTCTATGCAAATACGAATACCTTATTGTATTTTATTAAAATTAAAACATTTAAAAGTTGTGTTTTAGCTTCACACTG